TTAGTTCCAAATATGAATGTGTAGGTAAGTAGATGGTAATAGGTTAAGGAAGGTGGCAATAGACTGAATCGTTATTATCTATGCTTACTGTGGTACAAATAAAACGGTAAAAGAAGTTAACTTGAGAATAGTTCAAGATATACTCTTGAGGCATTAAAACTAGGAAAATTAAACGGAAAAGTCAAATTTATACACGCATGTATGCGCATACATGAAAATATTAGTATTTTGGAAATTTCTGAGGTTTTTTCCCTATGAAAAAATGTACATTTTTTTATTATAAGGAATAAATTTTTGTCTTGGATGAATTACGTCTAACTTACTTTTACAAAATAAATATAAGCCGGCTTTACATAACTATATTCCTTTTATTCCTAATTATAAGTCTAGCCTTTTGAAAAAAGTTATTTTAACATAGCGTCGCAAAAAACCGGAAGATATTTCCGAGCTACCCGATAGTCTTTTTAATGTTTTTCTCTTTATTATTTTAATTATTTAATTTTGTTTAATTACTTCATCTTTTAACCTTTCTTAGTTATAATATCTACAGGCGCATATACCCGCATTAATTAAAATTAAAATTTCAATTTTAAATCGAGTTCCTAACAAAGGTGATTTTTTCAAACTTTAACTTCGTATTCTTTTTGTTCATTCAAAGTGTTGCCATTTAATGAACTCTGAAGAAGCAACTCTGTTCTCTCTCTATTCTCAATATATGGTAATTTTTTTTTTATAAACCATGTACAGGGAAAAACCAGCTAACGTTTTTTCAGAATCAAAATTACTATTATTATTATTTTTTAACGAGGAGATGAAATAAAATTCCAGGTGCGTTTACCCTCTAAGATATTGTGTAATTTTGTTGTTTGAAGTCGATGGGAAATCTGTAAGCTGTAGCGAAAACAAACGAATAAACCGCTGCTGCCGTTGCTAAAACAGATGTCTGAACATCACCTCAATAATATTATTTCATAATGTAAACCTTTATTTTTTATAATAGCATTAATAATTAATAATTTTTAATTGCCATATTTCTTAATTTTCAATTTAAATTATTTTCCTTGAAATTATCTGATTCATAATTTCTTTTTCGCTTTCGCTAAACATATAAAATGAAGAAAATATATATATATTCATGTAATGTTGTCTTCTTCTTTTCCTTCTGCTTACCGTTTTAAATGTATGACCAATACATGTCACAGCCGAAAGTAAATGTCACCGCCGAAAGTAAATGACACCGCCGAAAGTACATCTCACCGTCGAAAGTAAATAAAAGTCGCGAAACTAATGTCATAATTAAAGGCAAAATAAAGGCAAAACTCGAAATGCTGTCGCTACCGCTAAATGTAAAATTGATGTATTGCTTTTAATGTTTTAATGTTTAAGTCCGCGTTTGAAGGGAATAAAGCATTTCATTATTGAAGTTGTTTTTCATTTATTATGGGAAGGTTCTAGGTTGCGTTTTATATGCTCAAAATTATCAATTATAAAATATCTTAACATATGCTCCTGTAGAAATTTTTCTCTTTCTCATTTTCTGTTTGTTTCTCTTTACTTGACACATTCTGTTGTGTTATAAACTAATTAGCTTGTGTCTTATTCGTCCAGGTGAAATCTTTGCCATATTGGAAAGTTAAGAAAGATTGAATCGCATTTACGTTTCATTAAGAGAAAAAGTAATAATGTTATTTATACTTTGTAGGGGTAATGCTTACCCCCGGGCCCATATGACGTAGTAAAAGATGGACTCAAAACTTCAGACATTACAAACAGATCCAATAAAGTGAACAAGGTTGATTGAAACCACGCTCGAGGTTTCACGACTTTCGCATTTAGAGATTCGATGAAAGAGCAACTAATGAATAAAATGATTATTAATACTAACTAAACTATAGAGTCATCTACTTTTTGTTTCCGAAACCAAACACAATTGAAAGTCTTTGCTGATTGCTATTTGGATCATTTGTTTGATATTGTTTGAATCTTGGCATTATTTGTGAAATACAATACGTACATAGCTGAACAGCGTACAGAAATTGAGAGATGATCGCGACTCGGACAATATGTGACTTCTACAAAATGTTGCAACATATCATACATATCGTAACAAAATCAATTAGTTCCGGGGAAGTTCAATAATTTGTGTATCGCCCGAAATGCTTATGTGAGTTTGTAATAAAGATCTGGTGATATTGTTCCCTTTGACTTTTTACTTTGCAGCCAATGTTGGAGCATTGCTTTACATCAATAAACCACGAAGACTATTTACTTTGCTCGTGAAATAGGAATAGATGTTTGTGAAACATTGGCGAAAATTGGTCTTCTACGGTTGAGATTTTACAAAACTCCAAAGGCGGTTGCTTATATGAAAAGACATGAACTAATGTATAAGGTAAAAAAAAATTCATGTCGATGGCCCATACAATTTAAAAAAAAAAAAACTCTCCGTCCCGCACATAAAATTAGGACCTGAAAATGACGTTAGGCAGACATGTAAGAATTATAAACAAAGGTGGACGCTTATTCTCAGATGTTTGGAATTTTTATACAAATTATTGAGAATCATAGACGCTTACTTTCAGTTGGCGGCAAATTTTTATACGTTTACTCTCAGATGCAGGCAATTTTTATACAAATACATGTTCAAGTATTGAGATCAATATTATGTCGCGTTCCTAAAAAAACCCAAGCTAAAGCAACATTAGTGTTAATTCAGACATTAATGAAATTTTACGAAAGTTATACCTCTCCTTGGAATTCCTCCACGGTGCCTATTTTAGGCGCTGCTACGTCGGCATCATCAAAAAGTTTGTGTAAATGTTCAACTTGTTTTATGTACGGTCTTATGATGCCAATGGATTCTGGCTTAATATCCTTACGATAAAAGTTGACTGTCATAAGGAAAACCTTCAAAAATGAAATAAATGTTATGAAATACTAAATAGAAGGGATTGTGCTTTTAAACTAAATACAACTTACCATCTTCGCTTCGTACATATTTAACCACTGCATATCCTTACCACGCGTTACGCAGAAGAATACACCATATGTACGTTTACCACGTACGTTTACGTTACCATTGGTACGTTTAGAACTTTACGTTGCGATTGATAAAAAAATGAGTTAAAAATTTCATCCTTTGAATGTTGTTCGGGTGTATTACGTAAAATAAGCGTATCTCTCGTTCAGATATACAGCCTGCGTATAAAATTTTATGTTTATATATAGCTTGTTTGGACAGATAAAGGAATTTTTAAACTTGTTAAGAAACTGTCTTGGCGAACCGGTTTTTTTGATCTGTATAATCGGCTCTTGAGCCGGCTATCCGAATTTGAGAAGCAATTTTTTCCATTGGATTACTTTTAAGTAGTTAAGGGAAAGAGCCGATAGCCTGTGTTGCTAGTGCTCAATGTCTCCTTTTTTAGTCTAAGAATTCAATTCATTAGTCTAAAATTAAAATAATAATAATAATAATAGTTAAGGGAAATAGCATATAACAATTCCTGCAAGTTTCATTAGGTAAACCGATCTTTTGAAAGAATACAAAAATTATATATAAATCTCATATTTTTGCTTCACCAAAATACGAAATCTTTCACTTGTAAAGATACTTTTGTACAAAGTTTTTTTTTTTCATGTGAGTGAAATTTAGGATTAAAGACGTTAACTACCTCATATTTTTTACTTTAACAAGCTCTGCTCGCGCAATCGATTATAAAGTTAAACGACTAAGCACAAAAGAAAGAAACCCGCAAAAGCTTCTACCCATTCACCTTGACATTTACCTATGCCTTATATAAAATCAAAGTCTTTGAAGAGAATTTCAACAAATTCCTAAAAGATTTTCAAAATTGAAGATGAACCGTTTCAAAAGAACCCTTTCCAGGGGGCCTAGCCTAAGTCATGACACGTACGTTATGACCGCTGACCACTTCATCTTTTTGAATTTATTATAAGTATATTTATATACATGGCACTCGTTTCACCAAAAGTGTCACCTTTTTAACGTAGGTCCTCTATATCTATGTTACAGGATGGTACGAAGAATGCGATTACTTTTAAATTTCATTACATGGAAGCGGCCAAAAGTTATATTTTTAGGGAAATGAATTTTTGACCATACCTAGGTGCACCAAAAAACTAAAACTAAAAACGAAGAAGAAAACCTACACCAAAAAACTAAAACTAAAAAAGACGAAAACCTAACCAAAAAACTAAAAACCTACACCAAAAAAACGACATTCTCTACACTTGGTGTCCAAAGATATTTAATTGAAATGCTAGCATGCATGCGCACCGCAAAAAGACTCATCCTATAGAGTGGGCGGAACATCGTCGCAAAAAATATGTCAGCAACTTTCTGAATAATTGTGGTGCTACTTCAGGGACTACCGAATTATCAACGCAAGTATATTAATATAAATTTAAATATCGCTGTTTTCGTAAATAGCAATAATTGAGCTAATATTATAATAATAAATATTAGTATTTAATACGTTGCAGCTTTGAAAGTGCCTAAAGACGTCCACTGAAAACTGATGCAATCATCAAATTATTTTCTTTTGCTGGTATTTTTAGAATGTTCCCATTATTTCGTTGGCATATTCATTACTTTACTTATTGTTTTCATGCGAACCGCCTATATTTTTTTAATTTTGGATTTTAATATACCAAGAAAATAGTAAGTAAATAATACATATATTTACGATATCAAAAATTAAGGTGAATTTTTATTTAGATTGCGTAAACGCTAGATTGCTAGGAAATCACAAAATTAGTCTTTACGGATTGGTATTCGCCGTCTTCAACTTCTATGTGAACGCACAAGTATTAGTGAACACACAAAAGCGAAGTATTCCACTTATGCCAAGACACCCTTTTTCGCGATAAAATTGGTAAATAGAATTTTTTATTTCAAAAAGAAATTCGTCTTACTTTTTCGTCACATTAGTAAGCGACAACAAAAGTTTTCTTATTAACCAAGTTTACTGTTTATTGAAAATTTAAGAAAAAACCAATTATATAATGATTTTTATGTAATTAAAAATATGATTGTTCTTCGCTTAACTTAATTCGTCAACAAATTCGGCTGCGATGTCTTCCAGCAACTGATCGATAGCATCTGCGTCGCTTGAATTAAGTACGGTCCAACTTTTTTTTGAACCGCTAGCCGTATCACCTTCGTCAATTTTCCGTATTTTCGAGTTGGGAGTATATGTTTGGTCATCATCCATTTTCTCCTCTACGACTGTTTCATTTGCTTTATTAACTTCCTTATAGCATTCAGCGTCCAGCCCACATGATGAGGAACCGCAATGATCACAGTGTTTAGTCTCGTTGTTGATCATCTCGTTTATTTCCTTACCTTCACTATAGAAATCAGCTTTCATTGCAAATGATAAGGAATTATTGGGATGATCAGAAGGTCTAGTTTTATCGTCACCAAGGTCTTGATTTTCATTGTTAACTAAATTATCGTTGCTAGTATTTTCATTGTATTGAGATCTCTCCAACAAGTTTCCAGGGGTAATATTCAATAAGTGTTCTTGCCCTAAGTTAACGAATGCGTTACGAATATCGCGTGCTTCTAAAGGGAACAACAAACTCTCCTTTTGTGGATGGAATAGTTTTTCCAAATTCCTTATTAAATGTGTGCATTGATTTCTCACTGACAAACTATTGTCACTCAAATGAGCGCATTGCAAAATTTTTAAAGCAATTTCTGTTGGTGGAGGGCACAAATGATTTGGCGCCATTATTGTCACGCTTAAGCTATTATAAACTTCAAGACGATACATGCTATTATGTTGTATTACCGTAGATGCGGGTAAACTATCATACAGTTGAATGGAAAGTTGTACGATATTTAGATGAATTGCTTTCATAGTTGATGGTTTCAAAAAGTTTGCAAATGTCCACAAAATTTGTTGTAAACAGCGTAATGCCCACACAACGCTTATGAGCAAATTCTTGCTTCCATACTGGTTAATTTTACGGATTGAATTGCCTTGAGAAAGCTTGGACTGATCGCTGCGAGCCTTGTTCAACTGTCGTCTAGCTTGTTTTGACAGGTGTTTACGGGCTCCACTTGAAATTTGTAAAGTCATTCCACTATACACACACGGAGTGTCGCTAAATATTTCATTCACTAAGAATTCAACAACTGTTTCACCATGACACCCACTTTTTAATGTCTGACACCACAGAGCTATCGTTTCGTAGGCTTTTGCTCGTAGACTCGCCAAATTAATTCCATTGCTTTCTTCTTGTGCCTTCAGAACTGTAGTCCATTTTAATGAATCTAATGTAATATTCCAGATTAGCTGGTAATGCGGCTTCAAATGTGGGCCTAAAATTAATATCAAAGTATCCAACAGACGTAAGAGATCTTTGTGGAGTTTAGGCAATAATACTCCTAATGCCAAGTTATCCGCGATAGGATTTTGCTGCAAAGTAATGCACGTGACACTCGTTCCCACGCTAATAAGGTTTAATATTTTTTTTGGCATAATAGATTTTTCGACAGGAAAAGGGTCCTTTAAAGCTATAATCAAATATTCAATGACGTTATGAGCACGTACATGCAACTGCGCAGCTTTCCGCACCGGCTCGCTACTAAGATCGGCTATTGTTTTGTTTCCTATCTCCTGACTGCTGTCGCCTACATATGTTTCTGAACAGTTTGAAAACATTTCATTGAAAATGGCATGAATGGAAGCAACTAATTGATTTTGATATTCTTGCCAGCGTGTTTTATGGTTTACGCCTTGTTGACCTCCACCACGAATTTGCTGCAACATGTGCATACATTTACCACAATATACAATAATATTATGATCAGTTGAATCAATAAACTTTCTTAAGAATCTATCTATTACGCTTTGAAAAGAAGCACTGGGCGCAGCATACAATCTTAAGCAAATTTCTAAGCAGCGTAATGCACTTTCTATACCGATTTCTAAAACATTATTCAGAGATTCGTAGACTTTGCAGAGATAGTTATTTATAAACATCTTTGATAGATCACAGTTTTCGTGACATCTCATTGCAAACTTTTTTAACAAATCAAAACATAAATCCATGTTACCGGAATCCTGGCTGTTACATGATTTTAATATTAAAGGTATCCATACATTGGCTTTCCTTTCTAAAACCGCTGCTTGTGAATAATCCAAAAATTGATTGAGTAATTGAAATCCCACCGTACGTGTGTTCGGTTTCAATAATAATGAATTAATGCGATGATCGATGTCATCCCCTTTATCAAAAATCTTATGCTCAATAAGACCATCTAAATAAACATCCAAATAGGTATTTTCCGTTGATAAAAGAGTTTGAAATAAAGATTTCATTTCGTTCATTTTATTTATAAGCTTCTGCTTTCTCAAATGAAAAAGAAATTAAGAACGACTTTGTTGACTTATTTTGTTTTTTTTTTTTTTGCATTACACGCACGTGAGTTCTAGTCAACTAACCACTAAAAAGAAGTTTTATTCTCTATTATGGCAACGCTTATACAAAGAAAGACAATGAAATGAAATTCCCAAGAAAAACAATATGTACCGCTTTTTAAAAACACTGCAGAAAATGTTCTTGTCAATGATTTATAATTCAATTTTTGACTCGTACGTTAATCGTCCAAATGTTACTTTAATAGATGTTGTCAAATTTAATTCATTATAAGATGCAAACATTTCTTGTTTCTTTTTCTTTGGTTTAATACTTTTTACTATGTATAATTTAGACACCAATATGTTTCAAATTGAACAGCTGATTGCACAAACGTTTCTGTAGTATTATTTTGTGTTTTCGTCAAAATTGACAAACAAGTGAAGAATACTTCGATTCAGTTAAAGTAAGTTTTGTGAGTGTTTTAAGTAAATTAAGAAGGTTCTTGCACAAGTAATTTCCTTGAATCGCATCTTGTATATATATCATCCCGCTACAGGGTTTGTTGTTACTTAGAAGCAAATCATCAGCGATTACCACAAAGATTTGATTGCAAATTTTCGACACTAAAAAGAAATGAATGCCTACAAATTTCTATTTTTTTGATTCAGCTAATTTATATGTTTCATTTTCGTAACCATTATCGCAATAATTTACCAATTTTGTTTCGTGTTTAGCATCATCTTAATAAAGACAGCAGTTGCATATTTTTCTTATACGTGAAACTTGAATTTTATTTTAGACAAACATTCTGAGGGTTACGAAAATTGGAATATAAGATCAATACCACGGAATAGGTACACGCACGCTAAAAATTTTAGTAAACTGCAAACGTAGACAGGCAGTTTTCTTATTATAGCTATCACCAAAGGATGAGGGGTATATTCATTTTGACAAAACGTTTGCAACGCCAAGAGGGAATCATCGGAGCATCAAATTCCAAATCGATTTAAACGTGTACGTCTGTCACTTTGTGTAATGTCTGAAAAATGAAGCTGTCGACTTCACGTTTGATAGAAAAATTCGAAGTTCTTGCACGCAGGTTGGTACTGAAAATAGGCCAAGTCGATAGAATAACTGGCCCACAGTAGCACGCAAGCTGAAACCACTTCTGTTTGTCAAAAGTAATAAAAAATCGATTTTTTACTCATTACTCTTGTACGATAATAAATAAATGTTCAAGAATTTGAACGCATGGGTGACGATGTAGTACATACCTAGCAAAAATTGAAAAAATAAATTACCCAATATTATAGTACATTTGAATTAAATATTTTTGGAATATCTATATAACGAGCAGAACAAAATTTCAAAAACCCTGTAAAGTGTATAAATTCCAATAATGGCCAATTTCACGGCCACGACCGAATATAATTTTCTTACTTGTTAGTCTTATAGGCTTTTGCCAACGCAATATATAATTATAGATTGAGATTTTACGCAGCCTTGGTCATATACGGTAAAATATTACGTTAAATTTTACCCATTCAGCCGCCCAAAGGATCAAACTCTCTGTACATTACTACCAACCCATGAAAACTGAATAATACCACAGGCGTTTTAAAGATATTATCGAGTTTTTAATAAAATGATGAAAAAATGAATTACAAAAAGAGCCATTACCGTTGGTCTTGCTTGTACGCCTGCAAAGTGAAGACGTCATTTATTGATTCTTAAAAAATTAAAAGGTAACTTGTTATTTAATATAACCTGCTCCAGATCTGAATGTCCCAATATTAGCGGCTTTTGCCATCATAGCTGGTATGTTACATTGTTCGTAAGTTCCGCTAAAGTAATGGGCAAAAGGTCCCGATGCAAATACACCAACATCGTCGCCACCATGTGTTTCAGATGCCAAAGGTACCGTAGCCAAGTATTGAAAATTAGGATCGATGGTCTCCTCCGGGGCAATTCGTTTACGTCCTTTTTTATTATAAGTATTGTCAAAGCCAGGACCGTTAGCGTAAGATAAAATTGTATATGGCAGGTCATCATCGGCCTGATCAGCAGCTAAACCAGTTATGTCCTCATCGCGATACTTATTAAAATTAAATATATTAATAATTGGAGTAAAATAGCCGAGTATAGGAACTTACAGGATAACCACTAATAGTCATTGTGTGCGAATGATCTGAGGTTACAATAATTAGGGTATCCTCTTCGGAGAACATTTTACGAGTTAAATCAACAGCTTTTGCAAGCTCTTCAGTGTCTTCTAACGACTTACGAGCTTTAGTTTCGTGATGAGCCATATCAATACGAGCACTCTCCACAAACAAGAAGAATCCATTGTTTTTCTTACTTAAAACTTTTAAAGCAAATTCAGTCATTTCACTAAGCGACGGTACCAATGTTGATATATTATTGCGCTTTAAATCACCGTGAAAAGGACAATGTGAACTACTAAATAGACCCAGCAGGTAGTCAGTGTTATTTAAATTTAACGAGTTGAGACCTTTCCGATTCCACACATAGTTGGCCTTAACATTTTGCGAACGCTTATCTTGTATCCAATATTCAATAAGATCACGACCATCATAGCGTTGACCTGCTATACCGTCTTCGTCGTTAACTGTTATGTTTCGGAAATTACTACGCCCTCCTCCCATTATAACTTTCAATTTGCGTCCAACAGGCCATTCGACCAACTGACGTGCAATGTCAACGTTAACTTTGGAACTGCAACCTGATTTTAGAATTTCGGCATCGTTCTCCCAGCCACGTTGGGCTGTATGAGCGTATACGCCTGCCGGAGAGGCGTGCGTAACGCGGGATGTCGTCACCAAACCAGTATCCATGCCGGCATTTTGAGCCCATTGAGCAATACTTTCCACCCAATTACCCACATTAAGACCGGCCATACAATCGAAACGTGGTACGTTAGCATTTACACCAATTGTACCGTAGTTACCTTTAACACCTCCTAAATAGGCTGTCGCACTACATGCTGAGTCCGCGACTTGACTATCCACACAGTATGTTTTTGACAAACCAAAATATGGAAATTTTTCAAATGAAACTTGTTTCGCGCTGTCACCCATGAAATTCCTCGTTGCTGTTATAGTGTGCACTGACATACCATCACCTAGAAACATAATAATATTCTTAGCATTATTCGTGATAGGTGATTGAACCTCCACTAATTTTTGTTTTAATATGTCTTGAGCTCTTTCGTTCCAATATTCGGTGGTATGTTCAGGAAACATATTCTTCATTGTATATTTCCTAGACGGTCCATACTTGAAATGGTCTAAAAAAGGATATAAAAAAGAGATGCTGTAATAAATGTTACTTTAATTATGGAAGCGTGCACTGTGAGTATTTGACGTGTCATACTACCTGCGGCTCTTGCTGTGTCGATTAGTAATGCTATTAATAAATAGAGCAAAATTTGCAAGCCCATGTTAACCTTGTTTTTAAACTGAATAAACTAAATGAAATGTAATGAGAAAGAACCATCAAAAATAGAAGTTTTAATCTTATCGTGAAATTTAGAGCCTATCTATAGGAAATTTATGATTCAGTTAGATTAAGTTGATAATAAGGGCATCATAAATAAATCGTCTTATAATAGTACTTTCGGAACGGATAATTTGACATAAACGGGACAGGCCAACTTTACAGGAGGAACATTTAGGGCTCTACAAAAGATGTAACGACCCGAAGTGTTTAAAATATATACATTCTGTATGTTTCTCCAGCTAGAATTCCCACGTTTGCACAAAATCTAAAACTTGACTCATACATATCAACTTAGTATGACCACAAAATTATAAAATTTGTTTTTATACCCATCACCGTTTTATCAAAACCCATAAAATATATACATGTATTCCAAACCTATTTAAGGGTGTCTGTCCGCCTGTGTGATTGTGATAGACATTCTCATATTCGCGAAAGATCAGCAATTGCCTTAAAATTTGGCACAAAGATTAAAAGTAAGACCAATATTCAAGTTAAGTTAAGGTTCTAAATTGGTAGCACTTTGACCGACATCTGTATCAATCTCCACATTTTAAACGCTATCAGTATTCCAGCTGCGTTTGGTGTTGCACGGCACAAAAAATATTTTTTTTTGCGATTTTTACAATGTGTGCGAGGAAGTGATTTCTGAATATCACTGTCAATTAAGCGAATATCGTGCAAAAAATGAGATGAGACTGAAAAAATTGCTCCAAAGGCGCTCAAAAATCAACGTTAACAGTTTTCACCGATCATCGTAGCGTTGTGCACTAGGAATTCCTTCCGCCGAGCCAAAACTGTTAACAAGGAATTTTATTTGGGTTTGAGGATTACTTTGAAGCCGACGAAACTGATTTGGAATAATAAATAGATTTAAAAAAGAAACAACAAAAATTGATCTTACTTTTTAAACCGCAACAGATACAACGATAAAAATTGAGATTTACATCTTATGGCAGCGCCCATACAAAAATGTGGAAAAGCGACCATGGCTACTTAATATTATAGAATATTTATTTTTTCATGATTCATATCAAAGTTTACAGCATCCAGAAAGAAGCTTTAGAGACGATGCAAGGTTTATATATTATTGAACAGTAGTATGCGGTGATGGATATAAAAGACTCTATCGCGGCCGAATATTATTTTCTTACTTGTTTATATTTGATTAGTCACACAGGCAGGGGAAATGAACGTAACTTATCCAAAAAAGAAAAGACCAACAAAGTGATACCAGCAAGGATACTTTAGGAGGCACTTTTTAAAATCCACTAAATGCTTGTAAAGTAGAATTAACACCCCCTTTACATGATCTGGATTATAGGTCTATCGTTTTATTCAAAGCGTCAATTATTCGATAATGGCTTGACATTATTGGACTACAAACGTGATGCCGCGACAATTGAGGTTATTGCATTTCAGGCGATATAGTGAGCCAAATGGTTTTCACAGGCTTCTTTTCAAATCAAATCTACAACGCGTTTCGCAGAGAATGAAATAAATTTTAGCTGAATGGAACATGATCCGGTCTATTCGATGCATGTATCAAGATTTTCCAGGTAAGCCTTCTCAATATTAACCAAATTTAAAAAATCAAATATGGGTTGGCATTGTCGTAATCGAAGACGACGGTTTTTCTATTGATCTATTTTGGACTTTTTTTTGTTTCAGTTCTTCGCTTTGTCACATTAATTGTTTGATAGTAGAAAATCATGAGAATCATTCGTTTGGTCGGCTTGAATTTGTTAATATGACATCGATTTAAATTTGTGTCGCTTGATCCATTTTGAAGCACGACTTTTCTTGCACTGTCTAGTTGTATCTGACCGTTTTTTCACTGGTCTGATTTCTTCAAAAATGGCTCGGTTTCGTTTTGTTTCACTAGTTATTCACAAAAAAGATTTCGGTCCATTCAACGTTTCTTAATCGAAATATTAAGCTTATTTTGTGCCCAATATTCAAATGCTTTAAAATTGTTTTCTTTTTTTCAGTTGCACAGCAATGTGAAAAATGAAACGGCCCCATCTTTCTGAACTTTTTAATGATTGAACGTAGACTAACAAAACATTCGCATTTTGCCGATTTTGATAAACAAGCTGAAAAATAGACGTTAATATTATTATTGATTTAGACCCAAGTCTTAAAGCACTAGCATCTAAGACTATTGGCGTAACTGAAAACTCCATCGCACTTGAGATTTGAACCCACGACCATTGTGGTTAGACGAGATCCTTTACTTAGGCGGCCAAGCTGGCGGATTTGTTTAAAACATTTTAAATAAGAAAAATCATTATAGCCGGCGAAGGTTGATCATTGTACGCTCCACATTATTTCTCCTAATGCAATTATTTATGCCTTTTCGTGATACTAAACCAAAATGTATACCTTGTTTTCATATAAATGCATATTACTCATGAAGAAAACCCTCTTAATGGAAAATCCACTGGTGTTGTCCAAGTTTAGCGAATTTAATTTTCTTCGTTAAGGGCTTTATATCTTTTCGTTTGTTTTCTTAAAAAGTTATAAATGAAACTGCTGCCGACCAGGAGCTTTCATTATTTTTTCTTTCATCATTTCCTTTTCTTTTTGTTTCTAACAGCATGGGTGCCAGGAGGAAGCAATTTTCCATCTTCGGACTGGTAGCGGGAACGGTCCATTGCGGGAGTTCCCTGGTGACTATGTGCTGACCCAATCGTGGGAAGAGCTTTTTGTCGTCGTGACGTTGCTTTGCACCCGGGTGTCTCACCCAAAAAAAGACTGTGAGTTTAGGTAGGCCTCGAACCCGCCAGAAGAGGAGATAAGCTTATATACGTATCTTTGCTGGCACTCGGGGACTAATCATCCTCGTGGCGCAGAGCGTGCGTTTTCACACTTCGCGTGTCATCGGACATCGTGGGGTTAAGCCTTTACGGCAGTGTATCCACGTAAAGTACTTAGACACATTCGTCGCCGTATAAAAGTTTTACTTTTCATTAGAGGCCTTATATTTAATTGGGTTTAAAAAATAGACCTACGCGAAGTAAATTTACTACGTTCAATTTTTATGGCATAGTGATATTATGGATTAGTTTTCATCATTAAATATTAAAAATTGTATTACATCAGCCTACTTTTCATGAGTTCACTTATATACCGAGGAGACGAACAAATAAACGTACGTAGTCCAAATTTGGTATAATTAATTTTTATGTTAGATTGATTCTACGCAGTCCAAATTTGTTATTTTTTTTTTAAATTTTTATGCCAATTCCTATTATATGCTCATCTTTAGTCTGTTTCACCAGATGAGGGTTATTTTTTGTAGGAACCATTACATGGAAGCAAGTTCGTAAATTTACCCCATCCTATCCAAATTTTGTAGATTTGTTTAATATGACAAAATACTATTTTCTACCGATTTTTGTCTTAAGAAATATTAAAAACGCCAAATTTTTTTCATTTAACGGCTTTTTCTTACTGAGGTGCTATATGGGTAGTGCATATTGTGTCTAAGCAATCTAAGCCTACTGATATAGTCATTGTGTTGGGTGACTTCAATTTGTCTCAAGCCACTTGCTGTAACATAACCCAGGATGAGGTAAGCATAATCGGAATTTGGAAAAACTCTTAGGGAAAACTTATTTTGTAAATTGACATTTTTTTGGTAAATCGTTAAGTCTATCCTGTGGGTACATATTCCTATTTAGCTCAGCTGGTAGTCGTCCTACCTATAAATATGATCATATGCGGACTGTCAGCTAAACCACGTGTTTAGGTGTCACTTATGTAACTTTTTAGTTATCTTAATTAGAGAAAAGGACACGAAGTTTTTCTTCTACTAAATATTTACATATTTTATACTATATTTTTTATATGTGGTATAACGGAGCAAAATCATGTTTACATGCTGCGCTTTATTTATACATTTCTAGCAATTGTGAGCGAATTATTGCACTATATAATGAGCTGATGTCCTTCTAGATAAAGTTTCAAGTTCCTTAACTAGACGAACAAACAGGCCGATAGGTATTCTTAAGTCGATTTGCGGTGTTTATGTAGACTCTTTACTTCCGCTGCGATATTTTCATGCGTTAAAAAAATTGGATAATTCTAACATAGCTCCTACGGTGGAAGCATAAGGAAAAGTCTTAGGTTAGGATGAATTGGCTGGATATCCAAAACGATATTTGACGTAATTATGTATCCTTAACATACCTTCTCTTAATGAATACAGCTTTTATATATAAATATATATGTGTTGTGTAAATGCAGATGAGTAAATATGTGTACGTAAGAAAGAAAACAAAAAAAAAAAAAATCACGTTATTATGTTTGGTCAATTCTATCGTTATTCCCATCATAGTTTTCTAATAATGAAATGGGTTTGGCAACCGGTACCACTGTTTTACTGTAAAAAACGAATATAATGCGTATATATACACACCCAAAATGTGTATATAACTTATGTATGCATTTTGTGTTTTTGGATAGCGTGCATAAAAAATCGGGTCAACATTTAATAAAAAGTTTGTGTTCCATTTTTATTATAAATTACAAGGCATTCGTTTTGAGTTTCACGTACAAAATTTAGCTAAACGTGCACACTAAAACTTGTACATACACACACACATACGAGTAAATATATATTTACATGTATATTGTATGTATGCATAAGTGTATATATGCTTGTATGTATATATCCTTGTATATATATATGTATACATGCTTGTATATAAGCTTGTACATAGATACATATATGCTTGTATTGAGATATATATGTAATTCACTTTTAAGCACGTAGCTCTTAAACTCCTTACATCAAGGAAAGTCTATCAATTTGAATAACAGTTCTTTTCAAAATTCAATCATTACTTTATATATCACGTGTTAAGAGACGAATATTAAGCCTTTTATAGATTGGAGCTGTTCTAGATGATTATACCCAGATTGTCAACGATTGCAATAATTGTTTCTTTT